AGGAATATGGCCAAGAAATGTCTAATGATAAAAACGGCAGCAACTACATTTTATATCCTGTCTATACTTTAAAATGCTAAAAACTTCTGAATAACTGATTTAAAAGTTGTTATAGACTGCATTTTTTAATAAGACATCATTTTCTATTTTATAAACTAGTTAAATATTTATTTTGAAATTTAAAATAATAAAGTTGACACCTTATAAGTTATAAGGGAAATTCTAAAAAGTAATTAATAGAGGATAAATCAAGAAATATATGATTAAAAAAACCAAACTTTTTTTTCAATATTGTATTTATTTAGTAAGCAAAAGAGTGGTTCATGATTAACCGATCACTTTGTATATATATATTTTTTTTATATAGGTTTTTTATACTCATTTATAATAAAATTAATGAAATGTACACATAAATATATATATCACCTCTAACACGGACTAAGCATCCTTTAGAACTTATGGGTATAGCCACGAGTGAACTTTTTCCACCACAGTAATAGTATCCCTTATCATTTTCGGAAACACCATTAAGTATCAAAATAGCATTACTTATGTTTCTATCATTTGGTGCAAAAGTATAGTGTTGAGATGGTACAATTGTATTATTTCCTAAAAATCAATAAATTTTTACTTCGAAAATTAACTTTTATAAATAATAATATATACCAAATCTCCAATTTATATCAGGAAGTGGTACACCATGTACTTCACATTCCAGTTCCGCTCTTTCTTCTTCAATGAAAGTAATAGTATCTATTAATTGATAGAATGGATTTACTGTAAAACAAAATTGTATTAAAAAAACAATAAAAAAGAATACATATTTTAAATTAATTTTGTGACAATAATATAGTCAAAGTTATAAAACGTAATATTTTTTATAACTATTGCTATGTACTATTTTAATTTTAAATCAAACATTGTTACATATATAATATTTTTTTTAGATTCACATGTTCACTCATTAAAATTAAAACAGAAATATACTTACAGACAACATGAATAACCTTTGATCCTATAGATGGACCATTGTTAGAATTAAAAAGTTGACAAGTGTATTGACCAGTATGTTTTTCTACAAATTTTCTAAATATAACATTATTACCATCAACTGTCAGTGAACTGTCTGAATCAGACATCTCAGTTGTAATTGGCTTGTCATCTTTTAACCTGAAATTATAATAAAAAAGAAAAATCTTAAGCTATATTATGCTTTTAATGAACTATAGAATTTGTTTTGTTACACTGAATTTAATTATACAATAAAAATTATTTTGGATTCTTTTACTTCAATAATTTATTTTTATTCGCTGTTTATTTTTGATATAAAAAAAAAATAGTTCAGAAAATTAGGACATACAAGTTTATAGTTAATCATCAAAAAATAACTCAGGTTATTCAAGTATTATATGTTTTTCTTTTAATTTTTAAACAGATATTATTTTAGCTCTTAAACAAAAATTAGTGTAATTATATGTATATATAATAATTGTTTACAAATTATTTTTTTTAAATTTCTGCAATTTGCTAAAGTTACTTAGGAGTACAATAATATATATTTAGAGTGGAAACATGTTATTTCATCAACTCCCTATTATTTGTATTATTATTACCATAGGCAAACTAAGAGGAGCTATCTCCAACCCCTCTAACCTAGCCTGAATAAAAAGCTTATAAGAAATTTAAAAATATATATGTGTTAAGTTTAATCAATTTTTAAAAATACCAGAAAAAATCACAGAATTTCCATGATTTTCCTTATTCTAAAATTTTTT